GATAGCGCGGCGAAAAGAAATCGTCGACGACATACCGTTGTTTCGGAAGAAAAATGCAAGTAGGCAAAATTTCACGGAGGAATATTTCGCTAGAAATACTTCATTAATTGATAAATTGTAGATTTTATGCACTTGGATACAAATATGTGAGATACGATGAAATGAAAATTAGATTGTTTTTGATGCATTAATGTTCTTAAGATAAAAAATATTCAGTACTGGAAATATTTATTGTATCACTCTCAAATTCATACAGTAGCACAATTGTTATAGCAGTATACAATTTATTTTGGCCATGATAGTGAGGTACACATTTTTGCAATAAATATACATGATAACGTGTTTAATATTCGAGTGATGCAATAAATATTTCCAGTACTGTAGATTTGTTTAACTTTTATTTTTATAAATTAGTTCATAAATTCTACAATCTACGTATTACATTTTATTCCAAGATCTCAGTTTAGAGTTTCAATGATAGAATTGTGTCACAAAATATTTGTGTAAATGTTTTTCAATTACATTAAGCAGAAAAATGTTTAAATATTGACAGGATCGTGATATTAAGTGCGAGAATGTGAAAAGGTGGGAAAGAAAAATATTATAAAGTAGAATACTGTGTTCGGGGTTCGTCGAGAGACACATTAGCACGTTCGATCTTTCCCAAATTGATCGTGGCAATAGCGGCAGATATTTTTCCGCCTTCCCCAAGGAAATATCCACCAGCTACGGTCCTGGACATCCCAGTAAAACGTCCCCTTAGTTATTTATCAAAATATTGCGACGACCGACGGAAATACGTAATACTCGCTTTCCCCAAAATTAATTTCTATGATTAGCACAAACCTACAGGGACCCTTGAGATATTCTGTTACAAACACATACATGCAATTCTTTTTTCTTAATTACGAAAAAAATATCTATAATACAAATTAAACAATACGAATGAAATTTTAAAAGCTGCAACTAACACTAATGACGTTTTCAGAAGAACAGATCGTATGCATCGATGCAAAAATGTATTGAAATGTATAGCAAAAGACTTAATGAACACGTCTAATTCAACAAAACATAATTGTGTTATATTTTATGAAAGTAACCGGTGTAACTTCTGTAATAATGAAGTATGAATGTATGTATTAACAGAACAATAATTCATTAATTACAAAATTATGGTGTAAATATATGTAGATCAAGTTTCCTAAAGATTCAACTCTGATACATACACGCGTTAGATGAATGTTGATTATTCTGGAGACGGAGCGTCATATGAAAAAAATGTTCTTCTACATTTTCGACTTATTTTTGCATGTATCATCACATCCTTTCAATTTGTACTACCATTCCAGAAACACTCTACCCAATAGGTAACGACAATTACACAACGTATTATGCAGTATACAAGCACAGTACTTATGAACCAGTTAATTTTAAAAATTGTTTCATTATAATATTGTACAGATAAAAAAACAAGCTATGGAAACTAGAATTTTAAAACACGACATCTGTAGTCGGTACTTTAACAGATAGAAAGTTTCTCATCAAAGAAACACCAATGGTGTCAGATATATTCAAGTAACGTTAATTTCACCAGTAGGCCACTCGATTCCAGCAATCGAAAGACCCTGGCTCGTTACAGGGAAATCCAAGTCGACGGGTCAGCAAAGAGTTAATAAAGACCGGTTTGGTCGAATTGATGGACGTCCAATGATCAGGGGGCTATCTTCGGTTTATTCTGACCACTGTGAGTCACACTTATTCACCCTGGGGGTGATAGCCTCCTGACCGTGGGCCCACGTGATCACCCCTTCGCCGTCTTCTTTTCTCCCCTCGTTTAACAAACAAGACGAGTCCGTCGTCTTCTTACCGTAATAATAAACCCACCCTGCTCCTCGACGGTAATGAAAGACTTAGGCAGACTCGATCAAACTCGACGCGAGCGAACCGCTTAATCTGGTAAGCCCCGGAATCGAGCCGAATCTTCTAACTCAGCCTGGATTGATGAGCCTGCTGCTGCCGGTTGGCCCACCTTTTCGCTATTCGGTCAACAAGTTAATTCCGATATTTCGCCGGGCACGGACCCGGATTCCCGCCCCGAATAATCCGATCGGACTTTCGCCTGTCCGACGACGAACGTTTTCCTCCTACAAACGACACGCCGTCGTTTCGTTCGCGTCGGGCACGACACGTGAATACCGATTAAAACTTTTACCGATCGACGTCCTACGGTGGTTCGAGTTGGCTTCCTCGAATCGCGAAATTCCATTTGATCCACCGGGGGGACTAGCGATGGGCATTGAAGCATATCGAATTGCTTCGAATATCGTAGTCTTGTTATAAAAACGATACAACGTTTTTTTTGTGTTATCGATATGGAAAAGTTGCAGAAACACTGTTGGACCAATCGTCAAAAGTGTAATCCTTTAGCTCAATAAGTTGGCTGGCAGAGAATAATTGTGTCACTCTTAAGGTTCGAAGCGAGAATTTGATTTCTGACAGTCATCTGCAGTTTTTTGAGAAACTAATGTTTTTGAGTTGTATCACTTTTTTAGTAAGGGGGCGATATGTACACTAATACTCATTAGTAGTCTGCGGATTTTTATGCATAATAAAATTTTAGAAGGTTGTTCAAGACAAAAACAGAAGTAGAAATTTTTTTCTTCTCTTAAGTATTTTAATGGGTTCAAAGGAAAATAGAAAACACGTTGCATCTGACGAAAGCCTTGTCCTTCATTGTATTTTGCAGCACCTATAGGCTATAAATGCATAAAATTCGTAAGCTACTCATTAGTATTAGGACATCAGGTATGTGTGAACAAAATTTGATGTTTCATACAAATTGTATATTGTATGCTACGTTATTATTTCATAGTAACATAAGCGTTGTCCATCGGGCTTTAATATCCTTTAAATAATATTTATGTCAGACTTTCAGTGATTTCGTAATGCTACTTAACATTTAATGTATACTCGATAAGTGTCCTAATATATACTTATTAGCAGGAGTGTACATGTGGTGAAAAATTCAAATCATTTTAAATGTAATTTTATACTTAACCCTTAATTCCTGTTAATCGACGAAATTCCATTAGCTGTTCATTCGTAACACTTTTAATAACCAAGCGAACGTTATTTCCATTACCGTTATGGACATAGTGCGCCACTTACTGTCAATTGAAGGTACTCAAACGCCTAGAGCTTTCGGAATTCTCCACTAGATAGCGATACTAACATAAAAATTCAGACTCGTCTCTGTAACGAGTCGTCTGTAGTTTACGGGATAAAACTCCTGAAAGTGTTGATAAGTCTTGAACCTTGTGTGTTGATTAGTCTTCAATCTTTTAAGATTCGATAGATCCTAAAAGTCTTGGAAATCTTGGAAATCTTGATAGTGTTCAAAGTTTTGAAAGCTTGGTGAGTATTCAGTATGTTACAAAGGCATTTTGAATGCTTTTCATAATATTGCTAGGACAAAAGCATTCGAAAATGGTTTTGTAAGATACTGAATACCCAACAAGCTTTCACGACATATCAAAACTTTCAAAACTTCAAAAACTATCAAGACTTCCGTGACATTCAGAACCTATGAAATCTTTATAGACTCAAGACTCAAAATTCAAAACTTATCAAGACTTTCAACAGTTGTAGGTATCGAAACATATTCGAAGTGATTCGAATTTTCACAGTATTGAAAAACTTTAAATTGCTTCGAAATTGAGATCCCAACGCCCATCACTTAGGATTAGGATTGCGCTATTCGGAACTTCGAAGAAATATTGTGAGTTGATGCTTTGTCATTGACGTGAGGAAAGTGTAGGATTTGAAGATAAATTTAATGTTATTTGTATGTTTGAAAATTGTGATTGATGATAGTTGTAGATAGGAATTGAACGACCGACGGAGTTAGATTTCATTAAAATCGAAACATAATACAGGATATGTGTCGAATTTGGTTATTCGAATAAGGATTTCATTGGGTTTCAAATAAAGTAATAATCTTATTAGAGTCTACTAAACTTCTTATTATAAATCCATAGAATGCGCATTCTAATGACGACCTTAAAATTGGATTTTTAATTCAGATTTAGGTAAGGGGTATTACTTTTCGATTAATAAAATATGATCCAGAACCAAGTTGAAGATAAAACGTACTATTAATAAAAACTTGTTCACTGATTACACGATGTATTATGAAGAAGACAGACATTTTCTGTGTCAATATGTATGTCCACAGTTGTGTTATCTACATATGAATGATAGCACTATTGATTGAAGGTAAATATAATTCATATGTAAAGTCCTTTCAGACCACAAAGTGACGAATAATACGTTCTTGGAAAATATTTTGATAGACTTCTATTCGTTTATTATTAGCTTATGACTTTAAAGATGAAAGATGTAATGATATTTCCTGAGACTGCATTACGAAGCATTGAGTGTCTCGTCCGAAAGAGTTCTCAATGTGAGACGTTATGTGAAATGAATTTACTCAAATTTCATGAATTTTAATTATCTAAAATTATAATATTCAAGAAATAATTATCACGATAAGTAGTAATACTTAACCTTTAAAAAAGAAGTAATTTAAACAATTATTTAAAGTAATTTAAACAGCTTCCTTTTCGTTTAATGGAAGGTTAAGTATTTTAAAAACATTTATGGATGTTAATTTACCAGCATATTAAAGATATTTGAAGGGGGCATAAAAAAGAAGTTTAAATATTTCCGTATAAAAGAAATTTAATTTATCTATTCTAAATCGTTTTCCCATTTTTTACACAGATATATTATTTCTGTTAATTCTGACAAATGGTAAAATAAAAATTGTACAATAATTATAGATTTGATAGAATATTATTTGTACACTTTACTGTAGGAAAAAAGTGATTCGTCTATTACTGATATTTACACACTTCTGATTACATACAACATAAATTCTAAATAAAGCATGTGTATTCAATAACGAATCTAATACATTTTCGCAATTTATTTTGTTTTAGGTGCAAACCGAGTGAGGTCTTCAGCATCCGCAGCCGTGGACCACTTCGAAGTGCATCAAGGCACCCATATCCTTCAAGTAAGTGTTCAATTTCGCCTTTAACCATATTAATACTAACCATTTGCACTCGAAAGTTTTTGCAACAGTAACAACGAAAAATTCCTATAAACCTATACACACTTTACGATGACACCATTTCCGAATCATCCACGAAAACAAATGCATAATGCACAAATAAGTCAACGATTTGGAACTCTACCGATTTAAATTATTAAACAGTTCAAAGGAGACATTCATCAAGAATAGTTACTGCAAAACTGTACCAAGTACAAAAGGTTAATCGACGTCTAAAAAATCGTCACGGATCAGAATTTCAAATCCTTCATACTAAAAACTAAATGAAAGCCCAATTCGTTCTAAGTCCAAATCCTTTCGCCTACATTTACAACATCCAATCCTGTGAAAAACTCAAAAAGAACCTGCAAAATTCTTCTTGCTCACAAATACCCCCGCGATAACTTCAAACCAAATCCCCAAGAAACTCGATCGACGACTTAATCTCTACATCAGATGGAACTCCCTCGACCGTGATACACAAGCAAACCGTGACAAAACTTTACTGCGACAAAGATAACGCAAGAACTATTGGTTGCACAAAATCCGCAAAAAACAACACACTCGAATGATTCTCCGCGAAACGAACACAAACGAGGGAGGTCCAACAAAGTATTCGATTCTGCTTCCTGGAAACACCGGGTGTAACTAATGGAAACAAAAGCGTTACCAGGTCGCCTCGGTCCCCTCTATAGTTTGAAATTTTTTCGTAATTATAGAAACATTCATGTAAAACCAACAAATATCAACCTCTAATGCAAACTAACACTGAATGTAGAATTTTCAATGATTTTATTCTTACCCTGATATCTCAGGCTAGACTCGATAAAAGGAATCTTATCCGTTACCAAAAAAAGGTTAGAGAACACGATATGTATGCTGGATAACGATAAAAAATAATTAAATTCGACCCAGAAAAAAATATCGATATATCTGTACAGTGACTTGAAAGTCACACGGGGTTGTAGAAGGTTAAAAAAAAGAAACGAATGGAACCAGCCCGAAGACCGATTGCTCCCATATTTTCCGTTTCAGTCGCTGGACGGCTTCGCGATGGCGGTCGCCGCTGATGGACGGTTCCTGTACATATCCGAGACCGTCTCGATTTACCTTGGACTCTCACAGGTGAGTGTGTAGCCTCTTCCACCGTTTCGGGGGCGTCTCGTCGGTGAGCATGGCTCGTTCGCGCGGGGATGTTGATGGAAGATCGGTCGGCTGTAAGGCACAGGGGTGTAGAAGGTGGGAACCAACCAAGGAAAGGAGAAGGGGGGCAGGGATAGGTGATGTAGGTAGGTTGGTGGGAGGGTGGAGGAGGATGAAATGAAGCGGAAGACATATAAGACACAGGCATGCACGTGAGGATGGCACGTATGCGAGCCGGAAGGGCAAAGATAGTAGTAAGGGAACACACAGGCCCCGGTTAGAAGAAGGAGGAAGCCTCAATGAAGAAAAGAAGAAGGGTAGAGACAGTGGCTAGGTGGGAGATAGGTGGCCCGCCGCGTTGGGAAAACGAAGGGAATGGAAAAAGGGAAGGAACGAGCGCGAGACACGGGGAAAAAGAAGCGTGTGGCTGGCTAGCGACGAGAAGAGAGAAAGAGAGATGCGGATGATGATTGTGGGAGAGAGGTCAAGAGAGGAAAAGAGGATAGAGAGAGAGAGAGAGAGAGAGAGAGAGAGAGAGAGAGAGAGAGAGAGAGAAAGAGAGAGAGAAAGAGAAGGTTGTATGAGTTGGCGGCCATACTGGCTGGCACCAAGCATGACATAGACGAGGGAAGGATGGGTGGGTTGGGGGCGGGGGTGGTCGCATGCGGCTCACGTAGCCTCTGCACGGCGGCGTGTTCGCCATTCCTAATGCTGCCCGTGAAGGTAGATGGAGAAAAGAGAGAAGAGGAGGAGGAAAGAGGGGGGCAGAGGGGTATAGACGAAGAGAGATAGAGGGACCAGTGGAAGGGAGGGGAGACGACGCGATAGCGGGAGGAACAGGAGGTGTACGCGGGAGGTGACCGGTGTACCAGCTCGGTTCTGCGAGACTCGTGGAGCAATCAATAGGGTGTTTCGGGGATTCGGGAAACCGGCGCCGACGTTGCCACAAACATGGCCGCCGACAGCCCCTTGGCGTTCCCCGTGGTGGATATATACTCTTTCATTAGTGACGGCGATCCTGCGTAATAATCGGATCGATCCTAAGAATCGATCTTTTATGAAGGATCGGCAATGAGATTCTAAGAATCGTTGAGAAAAAGGATATGTCCTAAAAGGGATGCTTGACTCTCTTGGTACCCGAAAGCAGAGATATCGGCTCTGCAGTCTTTCCCTCAAATATTTTGAGCCGATGTTTTGGCAGTTTGTATGTAATACGAATTATAAATTCCGATACAGAAATTGACTGAAGTAACATACTTCCAACATTTTTTGTGTAGAACAAAATACACTTTACAATAGAATACAAAAAAGTGTAATGTCATCTTTATCTTTAGAAGAAATGTGTTAATTGTAAACCTTTTAGTACCTTAGAGCCGATATATCGGCTTTGTGGGTTTTCCCAAAAATAACCCGAACCGATACATCGGCTTTCCATTTTTATTATAATTTAAACACGTGTAATGACACTTTATGTCTACAAAATAAGTTTAGATCGCTAGAACATACGTTTACTGGATAGGGATAATAAAATAAAGAAAGACCGTGAGAATATCTTCATTTTTAAGAGAAATATTTTCATTTTAATAGATACCTGGAAATCCGCATATTTTTCAAGGTATTTCTGGACGGTGCCAGAAAAACTTAAAAGGGTTAATAAATATCTTCACCAATGCATATTTTCCAAAGTATTTGTAGATGGTAGACAAGAAAAATTGTACGGTACTAAGAGGTTTAAATTAACTTTATTCTTGCACTCATTGGTCACATTTAGCAGTGTTAGAAATAAATTACCGTATATGACGTTGATCGGTTGATTCTTACAATGCCGCCGAATCATATCTTCATCTTTATCAGAAACAACCGATCAACCATGTATACGATAATATTATTCCCAACACTGGACAAGAGTGACTTCAATCAATCCAACCAGTCACATCGTTTGAAATATACGGGATTCCTTCGTGTCACTCTTATCACGCTCGTGGCAAGAATTCACAATAGTATGTACCAATGTACTTTTTGATTGGTTAAACCTTTTGTCCTTAGGTTCTACTAGCACTCTCTAAGCATAAAATTCTATTTCCGTTTTCTAATGAATCCAGCAGAGAAAACGATCCTTAATAGATCGGAATTAACCATTGTGTAGGTAACCCGAATATCCAGGTACCCATTTCTTGTCTAAAACAGCACTTGGTCTATTATAGGAAGGGAAAACTAAAGAGTTTCGAAAAAATACGAAAGTAAAAGTATCTATATTTATCTAATCTGTCAGAATTAGGGGTATTCCAATTGCTCAATAACCGTAAACACTTTGGTGGTTGCCCACGCAAGGATTAAAGATGATCGGTGAAAAATCGAACGTTTTAGGAGATAAAATTTGGATCGTTCCAACAAAAGATCGCCATCACTAGACTCTTTCCGTCCAAGGCACCAGAATCGGGCATGCGTTGCCCGACCGAAAACTCTCCGATATGGAAATCGAGACGACGTTCGAGGTGCTATCCGTTGATGGTTGGAGGAGACTCTTTTTTTCGAACCGTTCCACCCGCCTGTTGTCGTCTAGATCCCCGTGCAAGAACGACAGCCTATACAACCGTTTCCCTCCAATCGTCGGTCTTTAATTGCGAGGGTTTTTAATAGGTCGCAAAGAGCTTAGAGCCTGGTGCCTGCGGGTATATACCACCAGGGGGGCTTTTATTATTCCGCGGGCAAGTTCGATTGAAATTAAAGTTTCCGCGCCGATGAAATTGACTTCCGTCGGAATTAAGAGTTTCGTTCGACGCCGAGAATACCCGGGACCCCCTCTTCGCTGGTAATCTAGCTCCGCAGGGATTTACATACCTTGTCTTTGAGTTACGTGAGCGCGATCGAGATTAAAGGAACTACGCATGCGACACGTATACAATTATAAATTTAATTTTGTTTATTTGAAAGATTTGATGAGAAGGTGTAGAAGTGCATATTGTGAGAAACATTTCTTCGCTGATAATCTAGCTCGTGGGATTTATTAGGTGTACCGATAAGTACTCCACTATCTTTTGTTTAATTCACTATTTACTCCCTGAGAAATTGTATTTTAAGAATGAAAAGAGTAGGAACGTACTTTGTCTTTGTGACGTGCACGTGATAGAGATTAACCCCCTTAAAAGCTCACTAAATTGTAGGAATATGTGTCAAAATAGAACTCCTTTTCCTATTTCGTTACTTTGTTATGTAAATGTTTGTAAATTTGTATCAAAATCTATTTTTCGGAAGTAACTTCTGCTGAGTGGTACCAGAGGAAATTTTATATTTTCGTCAAATATAATATTACGGAGGTGAACCTTAATGATACATTTACTTCTGTCTATTTCTAAAATTTCATGACTAATATAAAGGTGCATATTGTAAGAAACATTGTCTGAATGTAAGATTAAGGAAGATAGGATAGTTAATGTAATACGGTAAAGTAGAAGCATGTCTGACTACGAACGTAATGAAACTACTTTATTACAGAAGGTAACTCGATACAGATGATTGTAACAATAAATTTCTATTATCATAAGGATATGTTTGATTTTTAACTAAAGGCTGAAACTATTTTAAGTTTGTATCCTAGACTACCAATATAATATAGGAAAACTATAGAGTAGATATTATATTTTCCAAAAACTTGTAATCGAATGGTGGGAACACTATACCAGTGAAGAAACAGCTTTAATGTAGTTTTCATTCGGATTTACCTTCAGTAATATTCTGTTCCCAGTGTATAAACTATTTTTGTAACAAACTTTTGAATTGATAAATACATCATCTCAATATAAATTTTTTTATTTATTCATTTATATTAACCAGTAAATTTACAGTTACGTAAATCCTATAAAGGTAACACAAAAATTACTGGTACATAGAGCTGGCTTAAAAATAAAGAATAAAAAACAGGAAAGAAAAAAAATATATATAATAAAATATAACAGTTATAAAGGATCTGGAACAATAGTATACATATTCACTATTCAGCGTAGAAAAATATTATAAAATAGAAATTACCTCACAGTTTATAACTTTCGTTTAAATTGTTACACAAGATTTTTTTCTAAACCTCTAGATATCTCAAGCGTATACTTACTGACTTCCACCGCTACATGCTTTCGCGAATTCAATCGATGATGCACAGAATAAAAATGGCGCGCGCGTGCTTGGATTTCAGGTAGAGATGACGGGATCAAGCGTTTTCGATTACGTTCATCAGCAAGACCACGCGGAAGTCGCCGAGCAGTTAGGCCTCGGTTTGACCTCGACCACTTCTTCCGGTCCACACTCGTCAAGCTCTGGATTGGCGTCGCCCAGCAGCGCTGCCTCTGAAGAACATGGTTCGTCTTCCACTGCGAACCCCGACGGTAAATTTTTCGCGTCGATGACGTTTTATACGAACTACGCGATGTGTATCTCTCGTCACAATAAATAAAGACATTCGAGTCGAGATTGTTTGCTGATAACTGTCAAATAATCACCGTCGAGTTATAATGATTCTTGTGAAAGATACAAAGGGGAAAATCGCGGGAAAACAAAGATGGCGGCTGCCCGCTGTTTTCGTTCAAATGTAGTCTCACTGAATTTTAGTGAAAATAACAGATAAAATACCAGCTTGTTATGTGGAATGTTTCAATGTTTTGGTGATGTTTGTATTTTTCATTTGAATTTTTATTCTTAGCATTAATAGAATGATATTTTCTTGATCTTTACCGAGATCATTGAAATTGAAACGTCATCTGTGGACTGCGGATTTTATACATTTATAGTGTTCGTGATCATTTGGAACTCGGTGTAATGAAAATATTAATGAACTTATGTGAAGTTTTAATTTTATTTTGAATCTAAGGAAACCTTGAACAGAATAAACAGACTTAACGTAAATTAGTCCACAGAAATCGATATTTCTATAAATATCCGCAGTCTAGTCATCTGAATCAAGTCAATTTTGGTGTAGATTCGCTACATTTAAACGTTTAATTTAGTTGCAGTGTTCGTTAGATTGTTGAAATAGTTAAAAAGGTATCAAAGAATACGCAAAAAGGAAATACTCGAAATAATAAAAAAAGTAACATTCTTCAGTTCGTTCAGGACAGAATTTTATTTGGACAAGAATTATTTTAACAATCACAGTTACTTTACAAATTCTGAAAGGATGAAGATGTAGTAAATATTTTTATCCGCCAAATTAATGTTAATTTCTTTCCTCTTACTTATTCATCCCAGAAATTTTGTTTCTATATGGAGAAATGTATACTGTATTCTTTCAAGTTAAATTATTGATTAGTATTTATTTATTATATTTATAGCAGTTATTCTTCTTTTAAACACAGTGTCCTCGGTAATGTCCTTGTCGGCGACTGGTCTCTATAAGGGATACGACCGAGCGTTCTGCGTCCGGATGAAATCCACGTTAACAAAAAGAGGGTGCCATTTTAAATCGTCTGGTTATAGGGTGAGTCTTGACGGCTAACATAATTTCCACAAATTTCAAAAAACAAGATCATAGAGTACACATGAAGTTTATATTTTTAATCTTATAAAGCACTTATTTTATTTTTGTAAACTAGTAATTTGTATCAATCATAATTTTTCATTTTAATCTGAATAAACGTATATTGCACTTTAATCCAAGCAATTTTAAAATCAAGAAGGTACTCCTATCTGAAGTATCGATTTTGGGCAATTTTTAGAATATAAAAAGTATAGATCAATAGAAAGTCTTACTTTAAAGTCGTGGCCGTATATTTATCATGACAACGAATGACGTCACGTACAGATCCTTATTAGTATTTTGAATTTCAGCATAAATTTTCACGAATTCGTCTTTGAAATGGTAAATTTGAAAAAAGCAAAGTAACAAAAACACGTTGTCGTCGTTGATTTTTCAGATCGGAATGCACTCTTAATTTCTCTTCGTTATTTTTCGCTCTTAAACAGACCTCTTTTGCGAAACAATTACGTTTAATTAACGAAAGCATGGATCTTAATTAACTATTATAAATTCAGGTCGTACTGTTACTGTGCCGTTTGAGACCGCAGTATACGTTTAGCCATACAAGAAAGTCCGCGCCGCCATTGATGGGCATGGTTGGATTGGCAATCGCACTTCCTCCGCCAAGTGTGCACGAAATTCGCCTTGAAACCGACATGTTCGTCACCCGGATTAACTTCGATTTTCGGATAGCACACTGCGAACCAAAGTGAGTGGACAATATAATTTCTCCGATAATTTGTTATCGAAACGATTAACACGTTGACTGTCACGGTGGTAATCCTGGTGATCAACCTCATTAAATTACAAAAACATTTGACTTTTAAACGATGACATTTACAATTTTGTAAACATAAATTAGTAGTTGAACAATTAGAACCATGGTCCAACCAAGGAGTGTATAAATGAACATATAAATATTTATGGGTTATAACAGAAAAAAGTGTAACAGATACATCTTGTTATGATATTATCCTAATAGTAAAAAATTGTGGCAGTCAAGGTGTTAATAATTATTTATTCCCTTCAGTTCGACTGGCATTTATAAAACTGTTTTGTTTTACATAGGGTATCCGAATTATTAGACTATACCGCTGACGAATTAACGGGGAAAAATCTTTATACGCTGTGCCATGGGGAGGATGCGAACCGTCTTCGGAAGTCTCACATCGACTGTGAGTATTTCATTCATCGTTTTCCTATTGTTTATACTTTTTAAACATTAACGTAATCAAAAATTGCAGTAATCGGGAAAAGTACTCTTCCGAACTCTTTACCCGACTTACCTTCGTAATACATTTGAAGAGCTTGGCAGTGTATATTTGGGACATATGAAAAATAATAGAGAACAATGATTTCTATAATAGTTCACTACTTTTATTGCGATGAAAATAAATCACATAAACAATTAATAGACTGCCGAATATATCCCCTTTTAGTAAATATGTACAATAAAATTCGAAAAAAATTTGGGACCAAGAGAAAAACTGTTTTTAAAATTCATTGAAAGTGTTACGAATAGCCCAAATTCAATATATGAAAAATTCAATATACTGAAATGCTTTTATAGCCTTTGTTGTTCCGTGGACTGCGTGGTTTTCATCAAAAAGATTTGATTTGTTTCAGTGATTCACAAAGGGCAGGTGTTAACGCATTATTATAGGCTGATGAACAAGAGCGGAGGATTCACCTGGCTGCAGACGTGCGCGACTGTTGTGTGCAATTCGAAAAACGCTGAGGAGCAAAATATCATCTGTGTCAATTATGTCATAAGGTAACTTGCCAAATTCTCGTAATACTCGTATATCTCCATATATATATGTATAATATATATTATAATATCGATTACGTTTATTCTATATATTACCTTTTTATCAGAATCTAACGTACATATCCAATAGGATTCTTCAATACCTCAGAAAAGAAGAAATTTTTTTCATTTATAAATTTTCTACTAAGTAAAACTTACTGAACGTAGAATTTTTTTGTACTTTTTTTAAAATTCTTTTTTTTGAAATTATTCTTTTTTACAGAGGAATAATTTTTATATATTTTTTTGTTTAGTGGTCGTGAATATGAGAATTTAATCATGGACTGTTGCCAATTGGAAGACGGCGTGATGGGTGTCAAGCGCGAGGACGCCGCTGGAAACGATCCAGAGAATGGATCGCCCGATGCCGACAGAGGAGGTACGCGCCTAAAAAGTGAATATTTGAATAACTCTTTCTACCTTGATAAACTCTATGATACAATATTTGTTTTATCCAATATTTAACAATATTAAAAACATTAATACCCAGATAGCACATGACTCCTAATGACGCCTTGAAGACGGCTTAAACGAGCCTTAGACCTAAAACAGCCGTAAAATGGGGGTTTTCAAGGCATCATGTGCTATCTGGGTACTCATTGCGCACGAGAAACCACAATTTTTCATTAACACCCTGAAAGTCAATATACAATATTTTCTCAAGTTTTTCTCACATCTCCGTCTTCTTAATACAATTTTATTATAAAATTCTAAGTACATTACAAGAACATCAAATGGCCATGATATTTTTAAAATATTCACCATTATCCTTCAATACCGCACACGATTTTCATCAAACAAAGCAAGTAGAAGTTATTTTGGATTTTAACTTCTATAGTATTACTTACCGTGCTAGTATAATATAAAGACTATACAAAAACGTAGTTAAAAAAATCAAAACTAAACTACAATATTTACATTATTTATTTCAGAAGGTAGGAGTCGTGGAGGACCACCAAATCAGCACCCAGAACACTCGTCGCACAGATCTCCGCCCGAGGACCGAGACGACACCCGCGGCTCCGAAAGCGAGAAACGGGGTAGCAGACACCACGACAACCTCGCACAATTGCAACAAGACCCCCAAACTACCGTAGGAAACATCAGTACTCTTGTAGTAAAATTACGCGGTCACAAACGAAAGCTGCAGGAGGAAGACAGCAGCTCGAACGAAGAAGAAGACGACGAGGAGGACACAACGGCAAAGGTGACGGGCAACGAAAGGAACCACGCCCTAAGTCCAGCCCCCTCGAACCACTCCATCTCGGGAGGTGACCAGGCACTCTGTGCGCCCAGTCCGAAGTCGAGACGCGTGGACGACAGAACGACCAACGCGGACACAACCGGCACCTCGGTGAAGGATCTCGAACAAGCGATGTCCAAGCATCTTCCGGTCGCGAACCTGAACAAATCCCATTCACCAACTCTCCATCAGCCCACGGACTTCAGTACCGACGCGTTGCTGAAGCAGCAGCAACAGAGAAGCACGATACAGTGGATCGGCGCACATCATCATTTAGGACACCTGAGTCCCCAACAGTCGAGCACCGCTCCGTTGCCAGCTTCGGCTCTTCTGCGACAATTGTACGCGAACAGGGAGAGCGTGATACGAGCGAACGTCCATGGAATTACCTCCAGCGGCAGCACGCGTACCCCATCGTCCGGTGGGACCTACTACGCCGGGGAAGCCACACCCAGTGGACCGTTACCTACTCCACCGGGTTCAGAAGGATCCAGCACCTACGGCGAACATCAGTTTGTCCTGGCCACGCATAACCAGAAAGGTCCAGCCGGCACGAGTTGCGCCGACGCCTTCACCAGCCTGGTCTCCTCCTACTCCACCGCGGGCGGTTACGCGGTCGACTATCATTCCGCAATGACACCCCCGTCATCCGTCTCGCCGCGGGATAAGCAGCAACAGCAGCAACAACAACAGCAACTACATCCCGTGAACGTAATCAGCAATTACGAGAGCTCGTCCGCTTACACAGACCCGGTGCTACGCCATCAGTACGAACCGGCGCAACCGTTGCCTGTGAAACCACAAGTGTATTCAGCCGCTGTTCATCCAAGCGCGTTGGACGCCGCGGCGGCGTACGCATCCGCCGGACTGGCCGAGCAGACGCAGTTCTATCATCATCCAGCGGCCGGGGCCGGTTTTCACATCTATCATCCGACTAACAAATCGACGACGAACGGCTGGTACAGTTCGACATCCTAGTGGCGTGGTCCCGTGCGCGACACTCGTGTACTTAAGTAACTGAAATCGAGCCCAAAGCCCTCACATGCATATCAGTGATATCGTATTTCACCTCGACGTCTCTGTAACCATTTCCTGCTCCCCACCCCTACCGTTTCCTCGTTCACTCGTTTTCTTTACGCTCTGTTTTTTAGTTTCCCTGCGAGGGGAGTTCGCGAGTGTACTACTTGGGCGAATGATGAAAATATCTGTTTTGTTGAATTCGAGGATCGGTGTGTGTAGCCATGCGACAGACGCGCCGCGGCACTCAGTGCGGCAAAATGAGGATGCATCTTTACTTCACGGTTAGATTATTATTGTTAGGTATAGAAGCACGCCGATTTTGTGTCATTCTAGATGCTATGTAATTAAGAGTCGGCGATGATCACAGCGTTAAACCTTGTTTAAAGGGCTTCCGTAAATCTTTGATGTGCAATTTTCGTAGCGGTACTGGCTGCCTTGGCGCGCTCATTAGAGGATAAAGATAGTTTAAAGTGATCAAGGTGTCAGGCATTTGTGCTTTGTTCAATTTAGTAAAATGTATGAGACACTTTCAAACCGTATAGCAGTCAAGATAAAAGACGAAGCTAAAATCTTGTCGACAAGTCGATGTTCTATGGAATTTTGTTGTAGCTTTCCGTGCTGAAGGTAACATTCAATATTCTAAATTTTATTTATCAACAACCCCTAGAATGTCAAGTTCAATTCCACCTAAAAACTGCTCGTCCAAATTGTGATCTCCCCTCGTTCGCCATATGTTCATTCTTACACCCCCAAATCCTAACCCCAAAAATCCCGCCTACTTCCACCCCTCAAGATCATGTTCCTCCATTTCTTCTTCATCGAACCCAGCGATCGTACGCATGCATCCGACGTGCCAACCGGACTGTAAAAAAAAAAAGATAAAGAAACAAATCGCTGCTCTCTATCCTCGACTATGTAGAACGACTTATTGTAATATAACAAAATAAATTATTATGTATGTTGACAATTCGGAGATATTCGCGTGAGCATAGAATGAAAGGGAGAGAGAAAGAGAGAGAGATAGATAGGTGTTCGCTCGAATGACCGCCGTGCGTGTTCTGAAAAGCGAGGAAAAAACGATAGAACGACGATGTCGACACTGTGTGACGCTCAAGGGGATGAAAACGGTGAAACGAGGAATGACTATTTAGTAATAGTTGCGGCTCGCGTGGCGTGGTCAGTCATGCGTGGCAAGGGGGTTAACGGGGGGGGGGGGGGGATAGGGGGGGGGGGGGGAGAAAAGAAAAAAACGAAAGGGGAAGGAGAACAAAAGACATTTTATCAGCGTTATTGCTGAGCCAGCGTGGTTGTTTAGCGATAATTACTCGAGGAAGCCGTACTTGTCGTAATTTTTTATACTGTAACATTTTGTTGCGTGAAATACGAATTGACTTTAGTGAAGTCGACAGTGCAATCGTTACGAGTTTTATGCGTTAATTTAAGAGGAATCGAATTAGAAATAACAGGCAAAAAATGATGATGTTTACCTTGCTTTATACAAGAGAGAGAGAGGAAGAGAGAGAGAGAGAGAGAGAGAGAGAGAGAGAGAGAGAAAGAGAGAAAGAGAATGAGAGAAAGAAAGGGAGAGAAAGCGTTGTTTCTGTACGAGAGAATATGTAACATTATGGAAGGGAGTCGCTATCTCTACTAATGTTTAAAAACGTTGTTTGAAATTGTTAACTTATTTTGACCGCTTATCATTTTTCGTTACTGATCGTTGCTCGTTGATAATTCTCTGTTATCTGCGACTCGGTATCGTTTGCTGTCAATGTTCATACATATCAAGCTATATTTCCTTCTGGTAACGAATGATATCACTGCCTCGCGGAGCGAATTAATCTGCAACGATCAACGAAGCAACGTGACTAGAGACGCTCGACTCTTTGTCTCTTGCGAACGTGTGCAATCGCTGGTGGAGCAAACTTATTTTTCGTTCGGTTAGAGATTAGGGGAGAATGTATCAAGGCAGCTTTCAACGGTGATTAGGTTAGGACGGAATAGTAATAATTGCTAGAGATAGCGGGTTCTTTCGAAGAGATTATTATGTTTTGTTGTAAATTGATGAATTGTTTTTTGACGAGTACACGTGTAAATACAATTTATGTGCTGTAAGATCCAACTGTTGAATAATTCTATTCATAATTTTTCGGAAGTTTCTACGAAGTTTATTTTCGTTGAAAGGACATTGTAAGGCAGTGACTTAAGCACTAAAATATACGCATAACATCTCCATCTTGATAAAGATGAAACTTTGTGATTCTTACGGTCTATCCTAGACGGTCGGTTCAAAGCTTGGCTTCGTTGCAGTCGTTCGGTATGTCTTATAATAACAATAATACATTTATTTTGTCAAATTAATGCCGTATATAAGATTACAAATGTATTAAATTTTTTTTTAATTGACTTATTTCATTTTTCGTACAACGATACCGATTAATAGAGTCATTTAGAACGATGTCAAAGATTTCTAAAAATAAACACCGAAATACTTAAAATTGGATGAAAATCAGCTTTTGCCAAACAGCGATGTTCTGCCTATAAATACGTTTATAAAAAAAGAATGCGTACACGAGACACTTCGCACAAGGAAAGTGATTACGGGCACGAGTTAATGAGATTCTAAAAATAGACGAACGCGGTGCAGACGAAAATTTGCCTTACAAAATTGTTCTTTAGACATGTGTACATAAAGACATGGGTTCAGGTGTAACGATTATAAGACTGATGATAAATCTGCTTCATCTATTCTATTGTTCGAGCAAACAATAGACTCGAATTGAATTGCATAGGTATGTCTACAGATATAAACATTCCACTATTCTTCATTTTAAAAAACCATAATGTAATGTACAAAAATAAAAAGAAAAAACAATACACCTGAAACTTTATAAAAGTCGCGAATTTTTACTCATTTTCTTATCTAGAATATTTTTTGAATTTCTATTCCCAATATATATAAATAATCATTATTTATAAATTCACAGTTTTTGTCAAATTCTATTTTAACCTTCCGAATAAACCGGAAGACCGATACATGTTAATTTTTTGTAACTAAAAAAGTACAGATTATTCTTAAACGTAATACATCCTTCTGACAAATGCACACTGTTCAAATAATACTTATAGCGTGGTAGCTCATGATTGGAGCGACACAAATATATTTAATTAAATGAGTTGATAATTATCACTCATTGCTGAACGAACCACTTATGACTCGAGTGATATGTTATAGTAGTGATCGTAAATTATATAAAGCATACGCGGCACTTAGGGTCGTAAACTGCATTTTTTGTTTCAATATATTATATGAAATACATTGACTGTGCATTAAACATTTCTTCATACAGCCTTGGCCGAGGTTTCAGCTCCTTATCTATTCATATTTCTGTCAATTCACATGTGCCGATCCCTGAAACATGTTTGCTTTAACACTCCACCTAAATGTTAGCTCCAACGTCCTCTAGTCCACACTGATCGGCTCCAATCTTCTCCGACCTGCTTCCGGCGATAGTCGTAGTCACAGCTTCGAGGACACACACAATAGCATTCTGCTCGATTCTATTCAGTCTCTTTACACTACACATTCAACTCATTCTATTCCTCGATCTACCTCTCATGAAAATTATAAGTTGAGAAATGCAGAGTAAACAAAGCCCAGCCTACGTAGAACACGTGTAAAAGTACGTTTCCTATCAAAATTTCTCATACCATTCATTTACCGTTCTTCAAATGACCTGAAACCCTAGTCAATAAAAAGTTCTCTTTTAAACTAACAGATTCTGTGATACATATGATATATTTTTGTTTCATCTGTTTTGTATCATTCAAGTCAACAATTTAGAAATTGAGGCGCTAGTTCAAGCGATGTTTACTGTGGTACACTCTGTATACATATATTCCAGAGTAAAAGATTATTTGAGTCACCTTGTACATTCCTGTAGACTCTTGCGCACTCTGCTGTTCAATTTATGAACTATACAATTCGGAACAATTCGGAACGTCACCATGGTTTGTAAAATAATGAAAGGAGAAACATAGGTTAATTGTCCAGCATATAATAATTATTAATAATGATCATCAATATTATGTAATCCATCTTAATTCAAAGCATACTAATTTTTATATTTAATATAAAAGTATACAAAATTACGAAAACTTACATGATCGAATGATATAAAATATTCATTAGTATTGTTAATACTGTTTTAAGCAGTTATCAGAGTTTTTATATGATTTTGTGGTAAAAATTTACATACATCAAATGCAATTAATTGTGAAACTAGGAAATTACTTAAGTGATGTCTACCACATAATGATAGCTTATGCATTAAGAATAAATAATGTCATACAATACAGTTAGCCTCATATGTTATGACACAATAAAGAATCTATACGTATATGCATGTAATTTACAAAGGACTGATTCAGTTACAAAATATCTCGTCGATGATTCAGCCTAGCCATGAAAGGCAAACAATAACCTCCTATTAATCTTCATGTGACCACATGTGAAATTATGTAATTTTCATCTCAATATTTTATAAACTGTTTGTTCCACATGTCCACTCTAAATGTAAACTGAAAACAATTGTTATGAAGGTACTTCTGCTAAAAAAAAATCATTCATTTGTCGTCTCTGAAAAACTGTCAGAAATACTGGAGCATTATGTACCCCAGAAAGTGCATTATGCACGCAAATACCATGAGAAATTAAGGAGAGTTAAGACGTTTCCCAAGAAGGTCTATATCATTACTTGCAATTCTTTTTACTTTCTGTAAAATACTCTTAATAGAACAGCTGTCATCTCTCAAATACGAGGTTATGTTCCCCAGTGATAAGAGTATACTCATTTCCACTACCGAGTGTTGCCTCTTACTCGAGTTCGATGTTCGATATACTGACCTCGAGTCGGCAAACTCAATCGTCATTGGAGCTCCTCGTTCGTCATTGTGGTAATTTCTGTAGATACGCGTCTATAAAAGAGGCGAGACAGCCAAATTCAAAAGGAGAGCACAAGTGTAACCATTCGCGACGGACACGCACTGTTCATCGTTACGTGTGAGCGTTTACCCTCTGAGTGAAGAACCGTGGACGTGGACACAAACCCAAGTCATGATTTTACGAGTCACGATCTTTGTCGCTCTTTTGAGCTTAGCGATCGAGGCGCATAAGTATCCGCAAACTTTGGACGAACGAGAACAATGGAAAGAGTTCGAAGAGTTTCAGGAGTGGAAGAAAGCGAAGCAGTTCAGCGAAAGACGGTACGAAAATAAATACAAGAAATGGCATCCTGACAATGAAAACCACGATGTGGATAAAGTTTACGAAAGGAACGAGAAAATTCCCAACGCTAACCCACCATCAGTCGATGAAGCTGCTTTAATGGCAAGATACATTGTCAATCAGGCTGGTAAGAAAAAATAGACATAGAGTAATCTTGGCTGTTACAAACGAAAACAATTCAGATAGTTTAAACTTATGATATGGGCATAGAATAAAAATGTTGAAATCGGATGAGTGTGTATGAATTGCATGAGTGCACGTAATGTGAGTTGACGCGAAAACGCGTTTCCACCGCGCTAGTGTATGCGCTATACACACGTTTGATATACTTACTTTACGCTTCTCTAAAATTAATATTGGATTCGTGTGCACCATTTTGGCGCTATTCCAAATTTTCGGTTTGAAACTCAGCGTGCACACATTGCTTTCAATTCCACATGACGTTCTTGCTTCTCATTTAATAAGTAAACTTAGAAACTGATTGTATTGTAAATTATCGTATTGATATCCATTAAATTAATACGGTTGTTTTCCAGTACGTGTATTATCTTGTGAAATAATTGAAGTCCTACCGTTCGAAGTCCAATTTTAAACGTATTGATAGTATTTGGTATGAGATTAAATAAAAGTATCACTTTATGAAAATGTTTCGAACAGATAATCAAGTTTAATAATCGACTTTAAATCATAAACAAAACACATTGTCCATTCCACTCTAACCACTCTCGCGCCATTTAGCTAAATGAACAATGTTTCTTATGTCGTGATACTCTGTGCTTATCATTAGTTTAAATATTCGTTCCCTTGGTCCGCGTTCTTTTCATTTCGCGCCGTAATCTCAACAGCTATATTCACCGTTTTAATCGAAGTCCACTTTACATGTACTATTTAAATTGGTGACTTGTAGTTAGAAAATGTAGTTTTTGTTCTTTTTCTTTTGTAATGTGTAGGGACATACAATTAAAATTAAGTATAGTTTATCGACGAAAATATAAAACTATTGATAGAGGTAAAATATTTGTATCCTCTTGGGACCTCAATGTTATTTTTTTCGTCAGTTGACTCACTCGCATGTGTTCGGTCTGAAGGATACCGAAGTAATTACATACATAGTAACAGTACAGTTTAGCTTTGTAAGAAGCATTTAACACGCGTATACAAGCGCACACGAGCTGGTGTATCTCACTACTAGGTCAAAATGGGGTAATGAACTGTTTTTATTATTAATACCTAGAACTTATTTAGTTCATTTCTCCACATACAATTATGTAAAACAATGATCACTGATTTTTATTATTAATATTTGCCCAGTTTATTTCATTCGTGTTGTCCTTGCACATTCAGATAATTCATCCATGTGGTGTCCCTTCCATATACAAGGTGAAACAGAAAAAAGGTTCATAACTTCTGGGGTAGATAGTACTCTCCAAACGATGAAAAAAAAGTCTTAATAAACATGAGTCGAAAAATGAATATTTTCCAAGTTATAAACAATTTTTTGTTTCGGATAAAGCGAGTGACTTTCCCGCTTCGGGAGCTATCGTATTGTACGAAAACCATGAAGAAAATAATAAAAAAAAATGAATAAAAATAGTAGAAAACCTTCTGTAATCAAGAAAACAAGAAATGATGGTAATCAATTGTATCTGTGTATACTGTACGATAGGTCCTGAACCGAGAAAGGTCAGTCGCTTTAACCGAAACAGAAAATTGTGTATAACTTTGAAAATATTAAGTTTTCGACCCATATTTATTAGGACCGTTTTCATCATTTGACAAATAATATCTCCCGCAGAAGTTATGAACCTTGTTTTTGTTTCACCCTTTATAATTATTGCAATCACTGGAAAGAGCATTGTGTGCATCTGTGTGGTTGTGTGAATCCACAGTGTAATGTGATAATATGATAAATATAACTTCCGTACAACTCGAATGATCGTAACATATAAAACAATCTTCCCTATTTATTATTTAAAAACATAACTATTATTGTAGTTATTTTATTGATATTTTAATAATATATGTTTTGCATTACTCAGACTGGGTGTCCGTGGCTACTATAAGCACGCGGAAGGAAATCGAGTCTTCTCCAGCCGTAACCTTAGTTTCCTTCAGCGACGGTGAATTAGGAAATGGATCGGGTATTCCATATCTTTATCTCACTCCTTTAGATTTCACAGCCCAAGATCTTGCCGTAAGTACCATTCTGTCTGCACATTCTCACATTTACGAATCTTGAAGTTACATTCACTGTTAATTGAATTTCTTTGATAAGATAACAATTAACGTCAGAAGGAACGTATCATTTAGATCGATATCCTAATAATCGTGTTTTATCGTTTTATCATTGCTTACAACGAAAAAGTATAATTACAATCATAATCGAATCTATATATAATCGGTTTCATTTCTTTCTTAGATTAGTGTGCTAATTTAATAATAATTTTGTAACTGCAGAAAGACAACCGAGCGTCGATGATGATGACATTGGCACAGGGAGATTACTGTAAGTCGAAACAATGGGACCCGATGGACCCTCGTTGTGCCAGAGTACTTCTGAGCGGTAGAGTCAAAACGGTTAGTAATCGAAAGTTTATTGATTTTGCTACCGTGATTAATAATAAAGATTTTATATACTTATTTCATAAATTGTTATTCTTTGTTGACAGTTGAAGAATGAAAGCGCCGAACTTGAAACAGCCAAAAAAGTTTTCTTCGCCCGTCATCCGAAATTAAGAAACATGCCACCAAGTAAAGATCTGTTTTTCAAGTAACATAACCCGATAGAAAACACTACTGTATGTATTAATTTGAAAAATTACTCGTATCATTTCAGATCATAATTTTTATTTCGCCAAACTGAAGATAACGTCGATCGCTGTTTTGGATACCTTCGGTGGGCCGAAATACGTCACTACGAGAGATTACCTACATCCACCTGTTAATAACGTTACGGAAGAATTTAACCGACTGTTCCCATTGCAATCGTCCGAGAATGATTCACAGCAAGAATACATGCCAATTTCTAACTATTTGAATCCTGTGGTCCGTAATGTTTAAAATATGATATTACGCTTGTACATAATCTTGAATTTTTTTATGATATCGAAATTTTGTACAATTATTAATTACCTAGATTGTAACTTAAATATTAAATTATACGGGATAATATCTAAAATAAATTAGCAAAATAATGTTAATCAAGTTGGGGGGTTGTATTTCCTCTTATTCAGTTTGGGTGTTTATGTATCCTTGATAAAAAATTATTCTGATGCGTTTCGTGTGCACAAGGAATTTACTATAGTGTGTTATTTTTAATTTGTCATCAAAAAAGTAATTCGGATATTATCGCGATAATTTTTTAGATTGATTTAAAAAAATATATAGGTTCCGCTTTAAGGGAAGTATAAATTTTATTTTATTTAATGTACATAATTTAATACTTCATTTATATACATTTTTATAATATTAAAATTACACATCGTTGAAGTACGTTACATAGAATTAAAACATTGTGTAGCATTTTTTAAATACAAAACAGTATAAATTACAGTGTTCATGGAATTTTAACACCGAGACGATGTTATGCAATATTTTCATTTTTATATACACTATTAATTTACATAAGAATACAAAGCATCGATCATATATTAACATTTATTTTAAGAAAATTAAAAATTTGATTATGTTTTGGAAATAATGTTCATGTATAATATCTAACATATTGAATTATTGTAACAATTTGATGATTTACATTAGTTATGTTTTTTGTACAACATTTTGTGTGCTTTTTCCGTGTACAAGACTGGATGAACTCAATATAACGGAAATTTGTTCTGGCAATGGACAAGCAATTAAAAGAAGCTCCTCTGCATTATAATATTTACTCAGTATTTGATATAATTGTGTAAACGCAGCACACACGTTATTTTTCACTGGTCTAAATAGAATAAACTCTGTCTCCTTATTAGACAAATATAACTGCATCAGTTGTTGAATTTCAGGACATCTGAATTTAATTATCCTCAAAACTTCGCTAATTACTGCAGCAACATCTTGCGGACTTCCAAGAAAATGTTCATGAGATTTGTCTACGTTAGTAGTATTAACATACGATTTTTCTTTATCTAATAATTTTAGAATTGGGTGTATCAATATAAAAGTTGCATGCTGTATAAGTCGCTGACAAGTATATTTCATTTTATTATTCACATATTTCCTGGAGTCTATTAGCTGTTCTTTCATTTGTGGTGCTCCTTCTAAGAGAAACTCCAACAATGCATTATTTGACAGAGTGAAAAGTCTGGAACTTTTTTCCAGTAAACCAAATGCAGCTGTCTTAACTTTAGAAAAGTCTAGACTATATTCCTTTATAGTAAAGTCCACTTGAAATGGTGCTATTTGTTCTCGTAATATTAACAAATGCTTTATTTGGAAAAGTTCTGCATCTAAAGTTGATGTCCTTTTCTCAATCTCCTGCCTTGCATTCTCTATACTTTGAACGCATAGAGATATTGCTTCTTGACTGAGGGATTGAAAGACAGATCTATCTACACATCTATATAATCTTGATAAACAGACTAATGTTCTGCGGACTGTAGGATACCACATTCCATGAAGATCAGCTGGTGAATTTCCCATATGTGTTTTTTGATAAATAGAATCCATTACAATATGATTTCTAGAAATAGGTTCAATAAAATTATCATCATTAGATGATACTGATATTTTTTTCATATTTGTTTGTCGAGTCTCTTCTCTTATTGATTCTGCTATATCTTCCATCATTTTTAATTTATCTGGATATGCTAAATCACCTGGTGATGGATTATAATTCAAAACATCAGATTGCAAATAAAGATGTGCACGAAAGACAAGCCTTTCTTGTACATCGTGCAACAGCTGTAAGCAAATGTTTCCAAATCCTTCTAAGGGTTCAAAATTATTATGCACATGTTCATCTAACATTTCAATTCTCAAAATACAACAAATTTCAGCCAGTGTTTCTAAATGATTAATATGAATAATAAACGGTCTTAGCATATCATATAAAGATGTACATAAACTTTCCAAGTATGTTGTTAATCCGCTGGATGGTTTAGTAAAAAATTCATAAAATAATTTGTATTCATCCATTGATGCATGCAGCAATAGTGCACATGAATTCCGTACAAGACTACAATGATCACCATTGTATTTTTCTTTTATAGACATTAAAGACTTCTGTACACTTGTACCCAATACTAATCCTCTCTGACTCCAATAATATTGATGACATTCTGACAATAAACTGTCATACTCTTGCCGTTTATACGACTTCACTTCTACTTGTTCTATAACTGGTCTAACTTTCGATAAAATAGTTTGGAACCTACCATAGAAAAGAGCCAATGCAGCATCTGCATTATCCTGAGAGTCATCGCTGTCTCTCAAATTTAAAATACTTTCTGTGGTTTTACTAAATAAATTAAATACATAATTTTGTATCATAGATATTGCCTTGGACTGACAATGTTTATATTTAATCAAGTATGTATTGCTCTCTTTAAATGAAGGATTGCTTTGCACAAAATCTATATTGGTATCAATTTTATCCAATATATTAAAGAACATCTCACTATTCACTGATAATGTAGGTGCTTCTAATTTCTCCATCATCAGATCAATATCTTTGAAATATTTTACATACTCCGTGATGTTTTCTATAGTAGCATTTAACTTCCTCTGATCAGAGTCAAGCTGTTCACTAGCATTATAAAGGGAAGTAGTTTTATCAGAAACTTCTGAATATTGTTGGAATAACGTTGTCAAGTCTTCCATAACCTCTTCAATCTGAAGGCAGAGAGCATGACATTCGTGTCGTCGTGCTTCGAGCTCATTAAGATACAATATGTATTTTGTATCTTTTTTGTCCATGCATTTTTTTTCTAATGAGGCATAATGTTCTAAAAGATCTTGATACCGTTCTATTTGTATTGATTTCGTATCTTCTTTGCTTGTGGTAACAGTGTCCCCTGTCTCTTTAGTTTCGAGCGTACTCTCGGAAAACAATTCATCCTCTAAACGTAATAAACAATCCTTTTGACAAGCAGTCAACGGTGCTAGAGGATCTTCTGACTGATCCCATTTGGTTAAGTTATTCGGAATGATTTTCATTTTGGACATCGTTTCGTGTCAGTGGGAATGAACTTTATGAAAATAACACTTTTGAGAAAAGTAATACAATCGTATCTACAGCAAACATGCCGCTTTATGATATCAGTTAAAAAATTCTCTTCAAAAAACTGACACCGCAGCAATTAGGAATCATAACTATGAAGTTATGAGATATAAATATTCCAAAACAGTCTGTCCATTAATGAATATAAAATATGAACATTTTTAATGAAGTTGAAAAGATTTCAGCTTTTCCTTTAATCTAACAATATATAGAGTCTAGTGTTATTATGACATTGCATTCTAATAATAATATTTTTAACAAAAGAGATAAATACTTTAAATGTGTGTTATTTTAATATAGAGTAACCGATAGGAAATTTTGTGTTGTTACTAAACCACCAATGGTCAAAAATGTACATCGACGAGCAAACTCCGCTTCCGCTAGGGAAAAAGTGTCGGGGGGGAAGTGCCGCCTATCACTTGATTATTTGCATATACTGATTTTGATTAATAAATTGCAGTTACTGAAATCAGAGAAGGAATGAGAGTGCTCCCGCTCAGGAATACGTTGTTTCTTTGTTGATTTGATTGTTTCTTCGTTTTGATTCGTTGTTGATTCCTTTCCTTGTTCTGTAAATTCTTTAATTGGAATATAAATGCTGCTGGAAGTATGAATATTTTTACAGGATAATGACATAAATGGAACTTTAACACTTTTTTAAATGTTACAGTGATATTTCGTTGGCCTCCGTATTAGCGCACTGCACCGAACGCAGATAGCATGATGTTGTAGTCGCAAAGGAGCAATTGCATCGAATAGACGTATTGTAACGTAGCGCATCGTATTGTATTTCAAACTTTTATATCATTATAATTTATATGTATATATGTATATTCCAATAAACATACGTCAGGTAGTATTAGCTTCATTTCATCGAAATATCTTAAATATAACTGCATAAATATTGTACAATCCTATACTAATTATAGTTGTCTGGTTTAACAGGTTACTACAGAAACTAACTATTGCCTACGTCTTTTAAACCTGGGCTGTAGTAGTATCTGCAGAAACTGCCATGGTTGCTGGGGTTACTATATAATTTGCTCACCGAAGCACGCACAAGTGTCAGTCAGATTTCGACAGTTGCACGAGCAACATTAGACCAAGCTCGAGACTCGTACGAGCAACAGCGATAAAGGATCACGTTTCAAAACTCTTGCACATGCTCCTGGGGTTCTATGACCCCAAGTTCTCACCGCACGGGGTCCCTGGCGCCTCCACCCGGGGTTCCATGACCCCACGAATATACATTACGGGGTCCCTGGCGCCTCCACCGGGGGTTCTATGACCCCACGCTCTCACCACGCGGGACCTCTAGCGCCACTTGTGGGGTTCTATGACCCCACGGCCTCACTACACGGGGACACTGGCGCCTCCACCGACGTTCTATGACCGCACGGCATCGCCACACGGGGTCTCTGGTGCCACTTGAGGGGGTTCTGTGACCCCACGTTCTCACCACACGGGGTCACTGGCGCCTCCACCGGGGGTTCTATGACCCCACGCTCCGCAACACACGGAGTCTCTTACGTATATGTTGTCAATTCATGTAATCTTTAGAATATTGATATTAATTTATGAACCGAGATTACGGCTTCACAAGTTTCGAGGTTGTTCATACAAGAATAAATTAAAATATCATTTTTATTAAGAAAATTAATTACGTGCTTATTATCGTACACAGATCACAACACAGATAGCACACAGACGGCTTTACGACGGCTTAAAGACGCCTGTTTCAGTCGTTCCAGTCGCCTTTCAGACGTCGTGCACAGCTAACCAATAAACATACGTCAGACTTCTTCAAAAACTTAGAAGTTTTAGAATTAATTATTATTTATTTATTATTTCTTATTACTTTTTAAGTTAATTGATATTAGGAATAGGAGTGGAGATAATGCCGGGATTAATAAATAACGCATATGTATGATTATAACTGTTTTTTATTGAAAGAATCGTACGAAAATATACAATTTACAATAGTATTTCTATAAATTTAACAACAATCGCCATAAATACTACTTACATACATGTTTTTACAATATATTTATAATGATATTTGTATAGATTCAATAAAAGTGCCCTTAAATACTTATTTTACTTAAATCCTGCTTATCTATATGATTCTACAATATCCTTGTAATGATATTTATATAAATTCAGAAAAAGTAGACTTAGATATTATTGAGGCTTATAAAATATTGTAACTTATATGCCGCAAATAATTCCCTCCTCTGTCACTTGCAAGTCTTCCGTACCGTCTTCAAAACTTCATAAAGGTTTCATAAGTTTGTCGCCGAAATTTTGATTACCGGTGGCATACGATAGGCGTGTGTAATAATTTGCAGTAGTCCTCTGCCGGATTCAATCAGTTGTTACTACATGTGGATTACGGGACAATGAACGGTAGTGAAATGGCTTGCGTCAGTACACATTTGAAACGTGATCCTTTATCGCTATTGCTCGTCGAGTCTCGAGCTTGATCTAATGTTGCTCGTGCAACTGTCGAAATCTGACTGACACTTGTTCGTGCTTCCGTGAGCAAATTGTATAGTAACCCTAGCAACCATGGCTGTTTCTGCGGATACTACTACAGCCCAAGTTTAAAAGACGTAGGCAGTAGTTAGTTTCTGTAGAAACCTGTTGAACCAGACAACTATAATTAGTATAAGATTGTACACTGTTTATGCAGTTATATTTAAGACAATTCGATGAAATGAAGCTTATATTAACTGACGCATGTTTATAGGAATATACATATGTATACATATAAATTCTAATGATATAAAAGTTTGAAATACAATATGATGCGGTACGGTACAATACGTCTATTCGAATCAATTGCTCCCTTGCGACTACA